CTATTGTTGTATTTTATTTAGCTGGAATGAAGACACAAATGGCTTCAGGGCTGTAAAGGTCGCTGACCCCTGGTTTAGGTGGACAGTCGTGTCTTGTTAGGCTTCCAGCTGTCTTTCCATTTTCAGATGGTTTTGATTGAACAGAGGTCTTCATAATGCTGCTTTTTTTCTCATGTTCTTCAATAAACCTGTGGTGCCTTCACAGAACGGCTGAATTTATACGCTCAATAAATAACTAATTCTGTTTACTAATTGGGTGTCTACTGTCACTCACACTGGACCTTATTTCGGAGCAACGAGACCAAACACTTGTCACATTTTTCTGATTTTTTTTTTTTTTTTGTCAGTGGAACAAAAAGGTTGTTTGTCTTCAGCAGGTCTCTAAGGTGCTGCTTTGTGCTCGTCTGTTTGTGGTTGTAATTGTGCGCTCCCACTCCATAACTTTTTCTGATCCTTGTGACCCACAGAGATTCCACATTCATACACAGCTCCCCAAAAACAGCTGCTGTCTGCAAAAAAGCAGCACGTGCATAAACAACGTGGGGGTGTGTAGGAGCTCCGAGGGGGAAGGCCGTAAAAGCGCCCAGCTCCAGGAATGCCAAAACCATGTTTCTGAGGGGGGCTTGATGAGCCACTGTTGCCTATTACTATAGCAACAGGAAGACCTGGCTGCTTCAATCAGCTCCTGGTTTGTCGGGCTGGCAGAGGATAGGCCAGGGAGCCGTGTGGGGAGACATCTTAGTTTTGCTAATGAGGCCAGCGGGACTGGCGAGGTGTCATCCTGACTGTACGACCTCAGCAGTGTCGTCGCCTGTCATGATGCCCGTCATGCTGGGGAGGTCAGACCCACACACACACACACACACACACACACACACACACGCAGACAGACAGACAGCCAAAATGAGAGTAGTGATCATTAAAATATAGCCAGTCATCATCACTTTTCACCAGGACCAACACATTCAATCTGCTGCAGATACACACACACACACACACACACGTACTGCTCACAGCACCAACGCCCACAACATTCATGAACAAGTTTGTTGTTTTAATGATTCACTAAAGCTCATATTTTAATTACATGAGGACCATGTGACATGAAGACCTCTTATGCATTCCCAATGTTGTGGGCTGTTATTTATTGGTTTTCAAATTCATCTGCACAATATACATTTTCACAAAAAAAACACACACAAAAAAAAAAACCGAGTGCTTAATTTTGGGATTTTTATGCATGACACATAACCAAAATGATCAGGCCATTCTGAAAATGATTTATATCTGCCCTCAAGTATGCAAAACACACAGCAGATTCCACATTATCATTTACAAAATAAGAGAAACAAATGCTTAGACCACTGCTTGAAAAAAAAAACTTAGCACACCTCATTATTCAACAGCCTTTAGAACAACGTTTCGCAGATTTGTCATTTGAGTGGAAAGTTGAGTGCAAGGAAGAAGTTTGATAGTAAAAGCAGCAAAAGCCAGTGGGAGAAAATCAAATCGTTGGCTTGAGACTGAGTCAAGATATAGATGGGAGATATGTACTAAGAATTTTACAGTGATAATTTGTGGCAATGTTGTGGTTATGATAAAGACTGTGATAAAAAAAAACTTATTTCTTATTTTTTAGGGAAATGTATGATGCAGTATTCACAAACCCACAAACACAAATATTATTCTTGAAAAACATTTCAGGAACAAAAGGCTCTTTAAGGACAGCATGTACTTAAAACAGAATTATTCACACAGTAATTACATCTAATCATATTTTCAAATTTACTGATATTTATTGAAGCTCTCGTGTAACAAAAAATGATCATTTGTGATCTTACTGCAAACTTAGCTTTTTTTTTTTTAACGATATATGCACATATATGTATGACATCAGTACTTGAATTTTGTCATGACAACAATAAATCAGAATTCTTATCAGGATAAGATTTCATGCTAAATTACAAACAACGTGATAAATACCCAGCCCTACGTCAGAACCAAACACAGAGACATCGAGGACCTGAGTTTTACCGAGTTCCACCTGTCCTGGCGCTGTGTTCCTGTGGAATCACTCTAACTTTCCCAGCTTGTCTCTGCATTGCGGTGGTTATTGGTTGGTGACTGAGGGCCCCCGTTTGGGAAGGGGACATGGCTTTAAAGGGGTTTTGCAACTTTGGTTCCCAAACGAACAGAGTCTGGCAGACTGTGACTCAGCTGCGCAGTTGGAGGCTTCAAATCATGGCCTAACATCAGTGTTGTGTTTTTACCTGACAGAAATCTGAATTCATGTTAGCAGAGGAGGGAAGAAGTTTAGAAGAGAATGAACGTTGACAGTAATTATTGTTCATTTTCCTCATTTACTGAAGTCAGTCATTATGATCCTGATTCCACACAGAAAACACAAGAAATATGTACTTTTTTATTTTAATTGTAAGACCAGTCTTTAACTCTTTACACATTTCACTGAAATATCATTAATACATTTAATATAAAAAGCTAGATTTATTTATTAGGTTTATTTGATAGGGACAGAAGCACATCAACACAGACAAAGTGAATAGAATAGCCTAGGCTAGTTTGAATCCCTAGATTGGCTTTTCTGAAAACTAAAAACTATTAAGATGTAATAATATTAAATGTAGAAAAAATGGTATGGACAGCATATGTAAAATCATACGTGTGTATTTATTTTATTTTTTTTTTAATTATGGTGCCTTATTTTTTTACTCATTGGACAGAAAAAAGGGCAAAGAGAGATGCAGCAAATGGCTGTTTTTAACAGAACAGAAAAGTTGAAGGAAAATATGAATATAATTTCTTTCCTCCTCAAATTAAAAATTTTCTTATGCCTGACAATTACAATAATAAGACCATGATATGTTCAAGAATGTGGAACAGAGCCTATGTAAACACTGATGGTAGATTATGTATAAACAAGAAATGCTTATACATTACACAAATGTTTATACATTTGTGTAATTCATTTTACTGAAGTGCACACTTGTATCTTCCAAATTGTAGAAAAAAATAAAAAAAATCCCCAGATTGTCATTTGGAAAGTTTTCAAAGCGCTTGACTTCACTTCCACATTTTATATTCCATATTCCATGTCAGATTCTTTGCAAATTTAGTAAATGGTGTACACAGTTGACCGGAAAGGCACACACCTGTCAATAATAGGTTCCACAGTTGACAGTGCAGGTCAGAGGTCACACATCAAGAATGAAAATAAAAAAGACCTGTAGACTTAGGAAACAGTATTGTCTTGAGGCACAAATCTCAAGACAATACAATGACATGGCACAAACCACTATCATCAGCTTTCAAATCAATTTCAATATTTTGACACAGTATATTTTGACTCGTGTCCATTTTTATTAAACTCAACAATCTTTAGATCTTCATCTCTTACAGGTTTTAGGAGTTGAGGCCAATTTTCTAGAGTATGCAGGGACTCTGATCTAGTAAATATGGTTGTCACGTTTGGCTAAAATTGTTCTTTGTGGATCCTCAGATCTCTGGAAAAATTAGAAATAATTTGTCTAATTCTTACTTTGATGCTTTTAATGTTGCAAAAATTATTTTAAAACTAAGCATTGGTAGTTTATGTTGTATTTTTTGCTTTCTTTATAAGCATTTTGAAGTGTCTCATTCTCTCCAGCCTGGTGACTGTTTCCAACTGTTTTTTGTTCAGTTTATTATTGATTAATCGAACTAACTAAAGCCATCAGAAGTTATTAGGAGCTACTGTCTTTATTCTTATGCATATAGTGAGCTTGCTGCTGAACACCTTTTCTGTGACATTTCAAAATTGCCTAAATCTTAAAAAGAATAAAGACGAATTGAAGCCCTGTACACTTGCTTACCGCACAATCATCAATTTATTTTTTCAGTCATATTTTTAAAGATACATTTGTTACTTCCTGTTAAAAGTTGAAGACATTTTCAGAGGAGGTCTATCTGGAGGCCTTTGTTCTGGGTCTCTCTCTCTCTGTATTTAGCTGTAAGAACATTTATGGGGAACAACATCACTGATCAAAACAACCCTTCATTATCAGCTCGTTTCATCTAATAAATAAGTGTGCCATAAAAAACGTGCATATGCACAAACTTGCCTCTGTGTTCAAATTCCATCAAAGATCAAAGAAAGGAATAAAAACATGTAATTTTTTGACTTAACTAACTTAAGACAGCTGATACAGCAGATCCAAGTTGTTTGTTTTAATTCATGTAAATTTTAGAATTTCTTCCATTTCTTGCAATTTATTTATTTCCTTTATTATTATTATTATTATTATTACTACTATTATTATTATTGTTGTTGTTATTACTTTTATGTGTAATAATGACTGATAATATATATCAAAATAAACAAATGAATAATTTTTATAAGAATCCTTTAAGTGACATAAAATTTGGTATTTCAAACCTCAAAATCAATGCCCACTTCTGTTTTCTTTGAGAAAAAAACAAACAACAAAAAAACTAACGGATGATAAAACAACTAGGATTAAACATCTGTAACAGAAAAGATCAGAATTTCTTTAAAAATGTTTGGTAAAGTGATTGATACTTTTTGTTTAGATTTGCTATTGCTTTTTTCTTAAAAAGTCCAAAATACATCCACACGTGTTACGCCAAACACTAAAAACTAATTGAAGGGGAGAAAATGGCATTTGCTGATTATGTGTAATTCCAGGTGCAGGTGAGTTTCTCCTCCTTTCCCCCACGCTCCACTATTTCTGACCCACAGTCCGCCAGGCTCCGGTCTCTGGTCCCAGGTTGGTGTTAATGCCTAATGATTACCAATCAGAGAATAAGTGATGGCAGGGCCAATAGGAATAGAAAAGTTCCCCCTGATAGACCAATGATGGGGCCACAATGTTACAGCGTTCAGCGAATCCCTTGCGGATCTGATGCAACAGGACTGCAACTAAAGTTACTACTCCGAACTGCAACATGATGTCCTTCCGCTGCAGCGCACCCGAAACTAGTGCCGGGTGTTCCATCTGCTCGGGATGTTCATTATTCATCCACGCTGTGTTTTTTATTTTTTGTTGTTGCATTTTTTAGTTTCTAATTAAATAGTTTGATTCTGGCGTGACGAGAACGTGAATTAGATAAGTAACTGAGAGGCTTTACACACGGTTATTAGCGTTCTTATTTTACGAACTACACACATCCGTTTAGGCTTTTTAAATAACTTTTAAACCTTCTAAAAGTACAAATAAATACCTTTAGAAAAGCGAAATTATTTTTCTGGTGGAGCAGTATGCCATTTCTTGAAAAGAAAGTAAAAGTAACACCGTGGTATTGACATAAATTGGAGCAGCACCTGTCGGACGGGCTCGTGCCGCTGACGCAAACAGCCCGAGGTCTCTGGATAATGGGAAAGTCCCCGGCTTCATGACGTAACGACCGCGAGAAGTCTGGAAACTGCGGATTGATCTCCAGCTCGGTGATCAGGTCTGGGCATTAGGAGTTGGAGAAGTAGCGGATTTAAAAACTTTCTGTCTGCAAGTCTGTTCGTGGTTCTAGCGCTCCATGAAGAGTCACTGAGTTCCAAAAGCGAAATAATGGCTCTTTGAACGGCGTCCTCCTTCTGCGACGTTAAGCTTGCTTTGCTCCTACAAAACAACCGAGCAAGTATGGGGTGAGTACAGCTTTGGAGGAGCAGAGGAAAGTTAGCAGGGAAACAACAACTGTTAGTTAACAGTTACTTTGAGACTCTTTGTTTTACTGACTGGTTAGTGAAGTTATTAACTTGAAGCGCTACTTTAATTGATATTTCTATTTATAGGGACGAGCAGAATTTTTTTTATTAAGAAAAGACATTTTTTTTCCAGTTCTTTTAAAAATATTGGTATACTAAGAAACCCCAGGGATGTGTTTCACTTTAGTTCATTAGTAAACTTTAAATTATAAATATTTTAGTTCTACAAACCTGTTGTCCCCAAACTAAACAGTTTGGTTTTACTTTTATTATTTGTGTAAGTTTATTTAATTAAAAATACATATTTAATTTTTTTTGTGTAAAATTTTTGCTCAATGATTTTGAAATAAATGCCATAAATCCAATACACCTTTCATACTGTAAAATTATAGGTCAACGGCAGATTCAATTTAAAAGAATCAGTATTAGATTATTTAAACTTGAAAAACCATGGTTAGCCATTTATAAATCGACTTTTTTTGTCTTGCGTTATTATGAATTAGAAATTGATATGCAATTAGATATTGTGGGTTTTAACAGCTTTCTTAAACTTTTCTACAGGTCTACAGTTAATTCCACAACTCTCGCCTCCAGCCAGCGCATGGTTTGTGCTTTTGGACAACACGATCGAAGCAGTCGGCATGATGGCGGCATCGATCCTTCGCAAGAAAATTCCCCCCATTTCCACAGGCGAGCTCGGCTCTCCCCCTCTCCCACAGGCTAACCATAGCCAATCACGGCTTAGGTCGGGGGCGGAGCCAGCGGAGAGGCAGCGCTTAATTGGTGAGTTTTGCCAAGACGGTTTTTTATTTTTCCACATCCCGAGGTTGGAGCCGCAGTGCAGCACGGGGGCTAATGTCGTACAGTGAGTACTGCTAAGTGGATTTTTATCGAATGCAGACAATGCTGTTCAATCATTTTCAGATGATCGGTTAGTTGTTCGCTTGGATCTTATCGGATGTGTTGCTTGCTTTTGATTTAAGCCTTTTCAAATTGATGCTCGCTTCTTTTGGTTTTTTTTCTGTTTTTGTCATTTTTTATTGTGCATATTTTATTCAAACAATTGCAACAAAATGGATTTCTTTAAAAAAAATTAACACATTCTTATAATTTTATATCACATTTTTTCTAGGTGATGGTCACTCTGATTGGATGACAGAGAAAGTTGATTTGTCTTCATTTGTGTCAACGAGCGAGTCTTCTCCGAGCTCATCTCTTCCACCCTCGCCGTTAGAACAAGATGTCAAGGTGCCCTCGGATCTGGAGGTTATGACCTCCCTACTGCAGGAGGAGCTGGCTCAGCTGGAGGACTACTTCCGCTCCGAGTCCACATCCACCACAAATAAGTTGGAGAAATCCTCAAAATGTGACAAGGTTTCCCAAGCCATGGGCTCCCAGTCTTATTATCAGTTACCCTATGGCTCATACGGGACCAGCCAATCAGAAACCAGCCCTGTGGTAGTTACCTTGGCAACAGGGGAACTGGACCTGGCCAGCTTCTGTGGTGGTCCCATCAGCAGAACCAAAATTGCACGGCCCGCCCCATACAGCTACCACCACCGCTACCACCACAACAATGGCCGTAGGATCCTGGGCGAGTCGGTGAAAGTCGGCGACGAAGTGGGTCTGGAAACTTGGGGCTCCAGGGGATGTTACTCAGGGAGCACAGAGTTTTCCGTGAACCACTACTCCACACTGAAGACCGTGAGCAAGAACAGCATCGGGAGCGTGAAGAAGGTGAGAGAATGTGCTTTATCGTTGAAGGAGGAGGAGAGTTACTGTTTTTCCGAAGGAATGTTTTGCAGCGAAGAGATTGCCAGAGGTTTCTGCTTGGGTAGCTCGTTCGACGGCCACCACAAGCGAGAAGGACAGCTGATGCACAACGTGAAGGTCAATGTAAGTTACGACAGCGCAGGGCTTGAGGTCTTGCACTGCAGCAAGGATGGCGGACTCTCTGGAAGTCTTCCCCAAGAGACAATGGCGGGCGGTGACAGCTACTTCCATCAGTCCATGGCCAGCACGGATCCGTACCATAGCTTTATAGGAGACCTAGACCAGCCGGCTCAGGCACAGGCTGTGGAGCCCCAACACGGCCACTACCTCTATCCAGAATGCCTTGCGGACCAAAGCTATGAATGTCTGTCGAGAGGGGAAGGTGAGGGACCACTGCTGGGTGCCCCCATACATCGCCCCACCCAGAGGTTAAAGGACGAGCCCTGCTCCATGAAGCCAGCTCTGGTGATGGGAGCGGGTTCCCTGGATACCAGCAATGGAGAAAGGAAGCAAAAGAAAAGAGACCAGAACAAAACCGCTGCTCACAGGTAAGCAACACCCTTCACTCTATTATTTCCTTAGAAAGCATGGTCCTACCTTGGAAAACAGTTGAATCAAGACAAAGTGATAAACTAGGTTTAAGAAATGGGATGAACTTAGAGCATAAGTGAGCGTCTGTCCATTCCCTACAGCTTGTCAGGGTGAGAGATGGGTTCACCCAGAGCCAGGGCAATATTATGTCCCCTCTATCAGACAAAGACGATGTCATCTTTTCCAGGATGGCTTGATTGTTATATAGACCACAGTACTTTAGCTGTTCCTGTGGAGCGTAGGAGGGATCGGAAAGCCCCTCACTGGCTGCCAAATTCTGCCCCACCTAGCTGATTCTGTCAGGCTGTTTGGACTGAACTCAGAACTATCGATGAAAACTTAGGATAGTGAAGGGACCTTGACTCATGACTAAATTTGCAAGGCAGCAAAAATCAGTACATGCAACCTAATCCTCCCCCGCCCACCCCTCTGTCCCTGTTACAGGTACAGGCTGCGTAAGAGGGCGGAGCTGGACTCTCTGGAGGAGGAGTTGCACGGACTCGAGGGACAGAACCGGGAGCTACGTGACAAGGCGGAGTCGGTGGAGCGAGAAATCCAGTACGTCAAAGATTTACTGATTGAGGTGTACAAAGCTCGCAGTCAGCGGCTCAAACAGGATGGCAGTGCCTGAAGACACCCCGTCAAACGTCCCCCATCCTCCACTACCCCAACCTCACCCTCCTCTCACCTCAACCACCGTTCCTCCCAGCCAGCACAGAGTGAACAATCACGCCAAGAGCACCAACTGGTTTTTGTCTCAGCACAATTGAAAGGGTAGTTGCATGATCCTGAGTGTTCATATCCAGAAAAACAAAAAAGAGAGACAGAACAGAAAGAAACTTTGTCCTGAAAAAGAGAAGTGTGGAAGTGGGTGAGTGAACTGTGAGAAGCCTTAGTGAGGTGGCTTCGTGAGGAGATGCCGAACTTGTCCGTGACCACTGTGATCCGAACTGAACTCACAGCCTTGTGATGACGCGCCGATGGATCGTCATTGCTCTCTGGATTCGTGGTAGTCATTCGAAATTTGCTAGTCGTTTTTTTTCGTGGCACACATCGGCAGCATCAAGGCAGACTCATACTAAATATATATATTTTATTTTATAATTTTATTTTTACCTGATAACTTATCGTTTGGTTAAAACAATCAAATGAATAAAGGGGATTGCTGGCGAAAGTGTGTAACATGCTTTATGAATATTCACTACTGCAGACATTTAGAGAATTTGTATTGCTAAACTGTTGAGTACTTCCACCTGTCCCCCCTCCCTCTCCACTGAGATACCCGATGCATGTTTGATTTTGGAAACGCATGTGCGAGTGTTATTTGAAGGCAATATTATGTTAACTGCATGGCTTCAAGATCTTCACTTCGCATCAGTTCTCCGTCCAATCAGCCTACGACTTTTCTCTCATCTTGTCCCAATTGATGCGATTTCCGCTCAGATTTTTGGTTTCCTGGACGGAGAGTAATACATTTACCCCGCTTTTTAGGTCCCTTCCTTTTTTTACACCTCTCTATCTGCCCCTTGACTTTATTTTGCGGACACACAATCACATCGAGGCAACAATGATCGTTGTCGACTTCCTGGGAATTTTGTTGTCAATCGGCTCTATTTAATGTATCTTAAGATTCAGGTCCTTTTTTTATTATTGGATGTCAATGAATTTCTTATTCATCAGGTAGATTACAGCCAAATAAACCAGTTATGTGGTGTCACTCATCTCTGCCTTTGGACTGTTTTTGTTTCGGCTGCATGGTGCTTATCAGACGTTTGTCTTGTAGCCATCACAATGCTTACCAGCAGTGACCAGGTAGGGTCACTGCTGGTAAGGGTGAAGGGGTTTGGGATTAGGGTTGCACAAGTCGAGTAATATCACAAAGAGCAAAATAATAATGAAAAACAGGCTTTGATTGACAGCTTAATAAAACCGTTTTCCTTAAGAATTCTGATCTGATATTAAATCACTATTGGGGTTGAGAAAGCATGGCTGATCCAGCCCCCCCTTAACCCCCAACAAAAAAGACATTTACCCTCTTTGTTCATTCATCATGATGGTTTCCCCATGGGGCCGAGTGGAATCGTATCAAGCTGCAGCTGTCAACAGACAACAGAAGTTGCCTATCTTATCTACTACAGCTTGAAGAGGCTGTTTGCGTGCGTGGGTGTGTGTGAGCGTGCGTGCGTGTGTGTGAAGACGGGTGTGTGTGAAATCTCTTGGTATCTCCCCTAGCAGTTGTAGGCCTTTCAAGTGAATGAGGCAATATCGCACAATACTTGCCGGAGACGGAGAGAGACCCAAAGTGAAGTGTGAGAATGAGAGCGAGCCGGCCTGACAGAGAATGTCATTAAAGCCTATCGCTTCTGTTTGTTAGGGGGGAGAAAAAAAAAACCTGACAAAGATTCATAAGGCTTCATTATAACTCAACATTGATTTGTTTCTGTTTGTGTAAGATATGACATGGAAATGAATACCAAATGGATTCTCATGTTGAAGCTTAGAATCTCATTACCACTGGCGAACATCGAAATGATGTGTGTAAATATATTAAAATAAAAGTGAACAGATGAAACGTGTGAGTTTGTGGTTATTTCTGTGTCTGTTGGTGGTGGACCAGAGCAGAAAGATAAAGCTACAATAAATATGTGCCTGACTTTATGGTTGACAGGGAGAAATTGATCATTGCTTACTAAAATAATTTTTTATTTAAGTTTTTCTTTTTTTTCTTTTAATCTGACAAAAATACAAGGAAATTCTCAATGTACAGGACACACCCATAAAAACGGGGTTTCTATGCAGTCTGGAATCTCCATTGGTCATTTTTTCTAGGTTTGGATAAAAATATTTTAAAAAACCTTGATTATTGAAAAATGTTTGATTTCCCAAACTTTTTCTTATTCTGTCAGCAAAAAGACAAAATCAGAATTTTGAAAACAAAAACGATTCTTTAATTTTTTATATAATTTTTTTCTGAAACATTTAACCATAATGTATTTATTTTTTGTTAAACTAGTTGAAAATGTGTCTATTTTAAAAGTAATTCATTTAAATTTGGTTGAAAAAATATATTTCTCAATTTTAGATTTTTGGATTTAATCATGCTTGTTTTTTTTTCAAAATATAAAGACTGAAAAACACACTTTGAAAAAGAAATTGATTTTAGATCACCTAACTAAGTGAGATAACCCAAAGTTAATTTAAAATGGATAATCTAGATTGCTTTTGCATCCAAGAATTAGATAAGGTTTATACTCTGAAATCTTATGTCTTACTTTTACAAACAGATTATGTATTAAAGAAAAAAAGTAGAAAAAATCTTGATATTTGAGTCTGGAAAAGTGTTGAACTCCCAAACAATAAAAGTGTAGAAACCCTGTAAAAAAACGAGCAAAAAAAAAAAATCAGATAGTGAGAACATTTATCTTGGAATCAAGAGTCGAATGTTTCATGTTGCATCAACGTGGGCACACATCCCCACCACCACCACCAGGTGTCACTGTGAGCTTTAAAAAGAGCCGCACGCGTGAGGTTTCCTTCTGATGCCCCAGTTCGGTAAGATTAAAGAGACGGTGGCAAAAAGCTGAACAAGAGCAAAGCCGTTTATGTAGAGAATTGAGACAAACTGAGGGGGAAAAAAAGTCATGCATTTTTGTGACAAGAAATAGTGGCACAGTAAAAGCTAGAATTGAAATGACATAAATGTGTTTTTAGTCTCTTTGGGTACCATGTTCAACTAGTTTTCTGTGTAATTACAGCTGTAAATTTACAGCTTTGCACATGTAGCAACTGAATAATGCTGCAAATTCTTATTTCCGATCTGCTCTGGATCCCCAGAACCAGAACTTTCAGCTTCTATGCTCCACAAATCTGGAACAAACTTCCAGAAAACTGCAAAACAGCTGAAATACTGAGTTAGTTAAAACCTGCCTGTTTAGAGCTTTTGATATTAATTGTTTAAAACTCATTTGATGTTGGTGCTTATTTACTGAGTCTCGTGTAACGATGACATTTGACAAAATGTAATGCTTACTAAAAATCCAACATATATATATATATATATATTGTAAATGTCACTGCTCATCTGTTAGAAAAACATCTGCCAATAGTTACAGTATATAAATGAATTGGTTTGTTGCTGTTATGTTGAAAGATGTGGAAAGAGAAGTCAGTCAGTCTTGGCTGTACAGAAAACAAGGCTTATTTATAGAGCCTTGTGTAAAGCAGCAGATTTGAAATTGGCAGCCCTTTTCCCATCAGGCCGCCTGGTGAAGTCCCGCCTTCTCATTTTATGTCGGCCAATCACCTCAGACTTCCAGAGTGGGGAGCGGCTAAATGGGAGGAAAAGAAGTTAACATTCAGATACACCGCTCTTCAGTTCAACCTTTTGAGTGGAGACACATTGTTGATGTTACCATTATAAAACAGCTTACATTTAAGTATTGGCAAAGATCAATGTAACTTTGACAGGTGGTGGAGCGTTGTTGAAAGTAACTGAAAAATTACTTTTAATGTAACTTAGTTACTTTCCAAATCAAGTAGTCAGTAATCTAACTAAGTTACTTTTTCAAGGAGTAATCAGTAATCTGATTAAAGTTACTTTAACTATGCCGTCACTGGGTGCAAACCACTTCAATATTAATATAACACAATTACAAATTCAAAAACACAACATTAACGAAGCACTATTGTCGTGATGTGCGTTTTTCTGTTTATTTTGAGTTTCTGTATCTCAGTGCCTTCATGTTGTCCTGTCTCCCTTTGATTATTCCCAGGGGTGTCTCGTTCTGTGATTACCCTCTGTGTATTTGACCCCACCTGTGTTCCTTGTTCCTCGTTGGGTCCTTGTTGAAACTGTGTATTCAGTGTTGTCTGTCTAGCCCAGGGGTGTCAAACTCCAGTCCTCGAGGGCCGGTGTCCTGCAACTTTTAGATGTGCCTCTGCTGCACCACACCTGAATAGAATAATAGGTCATTAGCAAGGCTCTGGAGAACAAGGAGGAGGTAATTAAGCCATTTCATTCCAGTGCTTTGTACCTGTGGCACATCAGAAAACTGCAGGACAGCGGCCCTTGAAGACTGGATGTTGACACCCCTGGTCTAGCTGTTCTCTCCGTCCATTTGTTTCGCCAGTTGCAGTCCAACGTGGGTAAGAATGTTAAAGGCTTAATGGAGACAGGTTGTTGAGATGACTTCCTGAAGCAGAGTGTCAGAAAGAGGAGAAGCTTCTTAAAGAGACAGAGGCACAATTTCAAGGCATTAAAATACAAAGTCAAATTTCTTTTAGGGGTCGTTGGATATGTATAGCATTTTTATAACAATTGAAAGAAACATAGAATGGCTCCATGTGTCTGGAAAACACATCATATGGCCCCTTTAAAAGCAAATATCTTTTCTTTCCACATGACACTAGGACATGTGTTACACTACATCATGTGCTATGTTGTGATAGTTGCATAAAATCTACATGAAATGCAAAAAGAAATTGTGACAAAATGCAAAACAGCTGAACCTCTATTATAACTTTTGTCAGAGACTCGACAGCCAATATGCTTCACACATTTAGTTTGGTCAAAGGATTTGCAGAACTTTAGTTCCAAGTCAGTTTAGGTTCCACAGAAGAAGAAGAATCTGCACCAGTTACTGACCAATAACATCAGCAGGTCTTCAGTGGAGAATCATGAACATAGGCATCATGCCATTGTTGCATCAGCTTTTCCATATGGGAATTTCCATGCTCAACAAGGCAGAGGTCATATGGAGACATGTGTGTTAAAGAAAGAAGATGAAGGCAACACAGGAAGATATTGGAGCTGGAGAGGGAGAAGCATGTGGGAGAGGAGGGATATGATGCAAGAGGGAAACTGAAAAGGAGGAGGCTGGTAGGAGGTGGGGTAAAGGGAGCACATCCACACTGGAAGAGTGTGAGGAGATGTAGCTCACTGTGAAAATGGCCTGGAGCTCTGTTCAAGGCATGTGTGTGTGTGTGTGTGTGTGTGTGTGTGTGTGTGTGTGTGTGTGTGTGTGTGTGTGTGTGTGTGTGTGTGTGTGTGTGTGGATAGTGAGAGGGCTTTAAATTTTAAATAACGGTCTGGATACAGTTACAGACAAATGCAGAGGGGTGAGGACAGAAAAAGAGGGTAAATCTGTGGTTTGACTTTTGACTTTGGTTTAACATACCACACATTTTATACTGCAATAATAATAATAATAATAATTAGAATTTAATGTTCAGCCTGAAACATTTATTCTGCCACCTCCTCACAGTGTGACCTTGTTTCATTCTCCCTCTTATTACCGTTCTATCAGACAGAGTGGGGCATGAAGTTTTCATCTCTTCCTTTACTCTGTGATTACAACATTAAAAGTACACAATAAAAACAAACAACTTCCACAGTAAGTAAAAAAATTACTTTAAAAAAAGGGCATGAGCACTTATTTATTGCACATCTGTTTTAATGATGAAAATAATAAGGCAAACTCCTGAAACAAAAGCATAAATTCTGGTGATCTGGATATTATCTTGTCAGAAGAGGATTAATTAATTATTATGATGTTATCTTGTCTCAGTCTTTCCATAAATACAATAGAATATGCTTTACTGATCCCAAATGGAAATTGCTTGTTTGTTCTGTACAGTTAAATAATAATAAATACAATATGTAAGGGATATAAAATTTGTAATAAAATAAAATAGACACAATTGTGATATTGCAAATAAATTCAATGATAAAAAATATTAAATGTTATAATTGGGGTTCTGTAAGTTAATAACTCAACTCAACAGTGGTTTATGCAAACAGTGTTTTACAAATTGTTCATATCACATTTCACTAGATTAACTGGTAATTCACAGGAAAGCTGGTGGTGAGGTTTGGTGTCTAACAATGATCATCAAGTTTTAAAGAATCTACAGCAGCACAGAGTATGCTGGTCAAACCTGAGTAAAGTGACTCCCTGCTGCAGTGTAAAAATCAATGAAATAGATTTGAACTGCAGATGCACTGATCCCACACATACCAGGTTTTTATGATTTGAAAAAAAAATCATTTAAAAATAATTAGACTTTAATAATTTTTCAGCTCCCATTTTTAATGTGGCGTATGTCCTGTGGGGTCAGACTGGTATGTTAAAAGATTTAGAGAATTTGTGCAAGGTCAAGTTGGCAAAGACCATCAAGTCAAGATATGAGATGTAGAAAGTCTGTGTTGATCCAAAGGCACTTAAAGTATTAGCCTAAAGATGTGCACACTTCAGTTATTGGATTTAAAATAAAAAAAAAAGAGACAGAAAGAAAACGTTTCCGAGAGCTGTTTTCTTTTCCAGTAAAGTTCCCCAGGATAAATGCAACGTTAGTTTATGTTTGGGGGGAAAAAACAGCACATCTGGTGTGATGTTGAAAAATCTGAAATAAAACTCTATTATCTTAATATTAGTTAATGAATCTAATTTTGGCAAAAGGAGCAATTCTGATACACTTAGGCACTGTGAACACATCCCAAAGTCACATTCATGCCATATCTTTGTTGAAGCTTCTGACCCACATACAGATGAAAAGAGTTAAAAGTGTTTATTTACAAAGTGGAAAAAACGTGCAAAGATGGTGATCTGGAAGCAGAACTTCTGGAAGAAATCATGAATAGGTGGAGCAGATGAAGGCAACCAGAGGAAAGGTAGGACATGGACTTACAGAGGATGATATAGGGAAGTCCATCAGTGAGTTATGAGGTCAACTAGTCAGAGTCAGGTAGCCAGAGAACCTGATGGTGACTTGTGCAGGACTATTGAAGGACAGACAGGTAGTACAACAATGATGTTGATGGTGGAGCTTAAAGCTACCAGTCATGAGAATTAGTGGTGCACCAATTTTAGTTTTTTGACCGATACCAAGACATAACTTGGTGGGCCAGTCTGTGAGTCAAAACCCTTCTCATCAGAGACCAAAAGAGAACAGTGGTTGGTTCTTGCCAAGCTAGCTAGGATTTGTGAATGAGATTGGCTTCATATGTAAAAATCGGCCAATCTCGGATCTCTAAAAATTAAGAAAAAGGGACCCCAATAAATCAGCTGGCCGATAAATAGATGCATCCCTAATGAGAAACCAACTCAGGGTTATGGCTGATTCTGGTTCAACTTAAGGTTTCACTGGTAGAGCCTAGGAGATGTTCAGGGAGACCTTGAAGGAGGGGAAACACAAGGAGTTCCACTGAGGCTTGACGTTACCACATGGCAAAGAGTGACACGTAATCAGCTCCTTATATCCAAGATGCAATGAGTGTTGGGGAGCTGCAGGTGATCTGCCACGCCTGCAGAGAATTAGTCCTCAACCCTGCAACTGGTTCACCTTGGCGCCCTCTGCTGGCTACCAGCTGGGAGTGTTTGGAGAGCACCATGGAGAAAACACAACCGCCCAGTTCCCTGACAGGTCACTGCACTCAGCACTGTTAGACCAAAGGGGAAATGACTTGGATGAGATCTACATCATATCAGGGCTTTGCAAAACTAAAATGAAATATTTTTTAAAAATATGACCAAAATTAAGAACTTTATTACTTCACCCTTAAGTTCAAGAAGGTCAAGCAGTTTTTGAGGTATTTGGAACAAATCAAAGATATTTCTTCAAAGATATCTGGAAAATGGAACGAATAATCCCTTTGGACATTGTTGTCTTGCTGTCCTAGTGATGACAATTAATATCAAAATTTTGCATCCCCTTCTCAGATTCTTTGCTTGATTGCATCATTTCTTTTTAAAAATGTTTTAAATTTCCTTTATTTAACCAGGTAAGCCCGGTTGAGATCTGGATCTCATTTTCAAGAGGGATGTGGGCAGAAGTCTGCAATACACAGCAACCTGGTTACAAAATAAAACCAATTAATACATATTCACAAGTATGAAACAATAAAAAAAAAACAAGTTAAAAGCAGTGACACTGTTTTATAGAATCTTGTTTCCTATCTTTAAGAACCGCTCAAAATAAGTCCAATAAAACCATTTCCGACATCTTGAGTTCCGACTGAAGTTGATTCCACGCTGTAGGAGCAACACACTGAATGCTTGCTTCCCTTTTTCAGTTCGAACATGTGGAACATGCAGAAGAATAATGTTAGAGTATAGAGAATGAGAACTAACAGATCTATGTAAGAGAGTAAAAGTGGACCAAGAACTGAGCCTTGAGGTACTCCATTTAAAATAGTGAGCATAGGAGAAGTGAAGCCAGCCAATTGGACTCTCTGGGTCCTGTTCGACAAGTAATCAGCTACCCACATGGTAGCTTGATGTGAGAGCCCAATCTTGTGTGGCATTTCAATTAAAAGCGTGTGATTTACTGTGTCAAATGCCTCCGATAAATCAATAAACAAAGTAACACAATGTTTTTTGTTATCATGAACCTGTATAAGATCATTGAAAACCTTTAAAGAGACAGTAACAGTGCTATGTTTTTTTCTAAAACCAGATTGTACATTTTGTAAAACAAAATTAGAATCTTACAAAAATCTTTAATTAATCTGCAACTAAATTTTAAAGCTTTTTTGCGAGGATACATAGTTTTGAGATTGGTATGTAATTGTGGACCTGCGATGATTCCCCACCCTTAAAGAGCTGCAAAACAAATGCTGATTTCCAGACATTAGGGATTTTGTTAGAGATTAGACTAAATTAAAAAATATGAGACAAAAGCTCTGCTACAAACTCTGCAGCCAACTTTAGAAAAAACTGATCCAGGTTATCTGGCCCTGCTGATTTTCTGGTGTCTATGTTTTTTGGTTTTCTGAGAACCTCATCTGGAAAAATAGGGGAAAAGTTAAAAGTGGTGGAATTACAATCATTATTCAAAAACAGTTCATCAGTACTTACATTTTGGCCGAATGAATTTAAATGATCAAACAGAGAGCCTGCAGAAATAAAATGCTCATTAAAATAATTTAAAACCGCTCATTTATCAGACACTATTTTACTTTTGTTCCAAACAAAATTTCGAAAGTCACTCAGTGGCGCCTGCTCAGTAGCTGATTTAACTGTTTTCCAAAATTTCTTTGGATCATTTAAATGTTTTGTCATTTCGGCAAGGAAATAGTCTGACTTTGCTTTCTTAATTAATGAAGTAAATCTATTCCTCAATTTTCTAAAACAAAGCCAGCTCTCCTCACTATTGTTTTTTTTTAAATGTCCTAGCCCAAGTTGCATCTCTTTGTTTAAGCAGAGCCCCAATAGCTGGGAAAACCATGGATTATTTTGCCCCTTCACCCTAATTTTACGTACAGGAGCATGTTTATTTATTAGTCTTGAACTGCCAGAAAAAGTCTACATTATCAAAAATAGAAACCCTATTCAAATTAAAAAGTAACAAGTCATGAACAAAAGCTTGTTCATTTAAGTGTTTTTCATTGACATTCCTGACTCAGTGCAAAGCAGCGGCGCATGTGGCGCACAGTAAGTCACCTGATGTCCAGGCCACTACATCACTGAGCAGACTAGCCATTTACGTTTTGCAAAGAAATTTGAAAAAGCATCGCCTGGCTGTTAATGCAACCGGCAGCTGCTACTCATTATATAGATGCAGGTACATAAAAAAAAGAAAAGGGCAGAAAATATTGGTGGGGACTGTCCCCTTCATGCCAGAGTAGGTGGGGACATGTCCACACCAGTCCTTCAGGAAGTTGCCCCTATGTCCCAACACATCAACTTTGAGGACTGTTCTCTTTTTTTCTGCTATATCTCACGCATGCGCCGCCATAGTGAGTCAATAATCAGTTATTGATCTGTCAGAGGTAAATGTGCTTTATGGACACACATACAAACTGCAGCAGGTATTCACTTCAATAATTATATTATGTAGGTAATTAAAACACAACAGACTATAAATTAGTTAAATAAACCTTTTTTTTTATTGAATTGCAGGATTAAAATTTGTAGAAGACTGTGGGATACGTTTACATTAACATTGGGAGTACGTTTGTTACAAACCAATTCACAGGTTTTGTGCATAACAAATGAATATAAAGGCAGGAGCTGCTAGAAACTGATGGCTTTGTTTGTGTCATGTTCTGGATTTTTATTCCCTGTAGAAACCTTTTCAGGTTTAATCACCAGCTTTGTGGGGGTTGATTTTAGGTTTGTGCTCTTGAACTTAAAAAACTAAAGGTAAAAAAGAAAAGAAGCCAACTCCGAACTTTGATGTGTCATCCTAGTAAAGCCTGAGGTAAAACTGTGGTATGAGTAAGCAACGCCTCAGTGATTTATGAGATGTCTTGACAGGTTCAGACTTGAGGACAAAGCATTCCAGAAAAGAAGCAGGAATTTCAACATGACGATGCCCACAGACATTGCTGGCAGTTCCTCTTACAGACATCATTTTAAGCGTTACCTTCTTCAGCGAGCATCCAGTTGCTCCCCGTTTGCCAGTGTGGAAAATCCAACTTCTGACGTTGCTCGCCCTCCAAACACAGCAAAAACTCCAGAATACATTTAAAACAACAACAAAAATTAGAAACTACAATTACAAATACAAAATTCTTTGCATATTTTGTATTAGAGATACTCAAAAAGTCATTTATTCAAAGTAAAGCATCCATAACCCATAACAACCCTTACTGATATACAATATTCCCAATGCAATATACAGTTTTCTTTACATTTATAAAACATGATCACCACATGGCACCATGGATCAGAAAGAATAGCCCATAAACTAATCTGTTTAGTTTATACAAACAACAAGAGGTGGTGCAAACATAGAAACATATTCAGCAGAACTGACACAATAAATGGGATTTCTTTGTGGGGAAATTAACAAATACAATTTTTTCCCTTTTTACTTAAAAACTAAAGTTGCTATATTAAGTGAGAAAACATCCCTCTCTCTTTTTAGGTTTTAAACTCATTTCTCTGAGAATTTTTAAAATTCAAACTGTAATGATAAAAATATATATATATTCATAGGACACATAAATGAACAAAAATATTACATTTTATAAAGAAAGACTCTTTATGTGACATTAGGTAAAATAATGACTATGCAAAAAACTCCACACACCAAATGGTTTTAGTGAGTCGTGGGAAAGCAGTGAAGTGTAACTGAAATACTTTCCCATAACTACTCACTATTCAACGCGCTCTTAACAACAGTCCTGAAAACATCCAACATGTAAATTTAATTTTTTGGCTTTTTTTTCTTGGATCTCATTGGCTCTCCATTCAGTTAGTCAAACCAGTGCCTTTGATCTGATTGAAACCTTTCACCTGGTTTATATTTGTATTGTGATTGTGCTTATTCAATTCACCAACCAGATGTTCAGGACATATATCGTATCTTAAACCAGCCTGCAGTTAAAGTGCGACCAATGAGGAATAACTCCCATTGTTTAACAGCTGCTCTTACATCCAGTAGTCATGCAAATGTTAAGCCAATTTTTAAAATGTTCCCAAAACCAAAAAATAAATGAAAGCGAGATTTAACCGTATTTGAAGGGAATCAACCAGGCTACGCAGGATGTCATTTTGCCAGATGTTCATGTTTCTCCTGTCTGCAGGAAGTAGACTGCACAAACAAGAATGGCTCACGCATGTCAAAAACGTTGAAGTTTTCAGAGTTTTGAGGCACAGATGGGAAATTTGCTACATCAGAACTTATTCAGCAAATGTATTTCTCTCCCCTTTTGTGGATTAAAGAAGCAGTATTATGTATTGCCTTCAAATTGGGCCTTTGTCCCTTTAAAAATTCCTCCTCTATCTGAATCTCTTTAAGATAACCCTTTAGTAGCACTTTTATTAGCACTTCACTGAAAAGAGAAGTGAGTATAATGAGCTCAGCAGTTCCATCAGGTTTTTGCTAATTGCTGCTGACTAGTCTGAAGGAGCTGAGTGGGGTGGGCTGCTCTGTAAGGCAGAAGCTCGGTAGCATGGAAACTGTAGCTAGGAGGAGGAGCTGCGCCTCGAAGGCGGAGCTAAGTCCAGATGTTCTGCACAGCTTAATGGTTCCAATGAGATTAGAGGATTTCTCAAACATGCATGAAGGAATTGAGGAAACACAATAACATTATAACATGATGTAAAGCTAAAAAGGTAGATTTTATGTAACACTGCCCCCTTAACTCTTTTTTTTCCCAAAAATGAAGTGTTTTTAAAATTTTGCTGTTTCCGTCAAAGTTTTTTTAATGAAATACCTCAAAATATGCGTAAAAAGACGTTGATGGAGACATGCTAACAAAGACTCAAACATTCTTTTACAGAACTTCATAATCATTCTGAAGAAATATGCTGGAAAGGCACAATCACACTACCATACTTTAAGTTAAGCCAAAAGATTTCACTTTGGAGTCTGCAGGGATGCAGTTGTTAAGAGGCAACTTGTTACTAAACTGTAACAAACAATGGAAGTTTCACAGAAACCAGTGAAGGTGCATCTGATTTTTCTGTGCTGGCTTTAGTCCAGGACTGACTACAAGCCAGATACCTGCAACCACACACAGCCTAACAGATGCTTCACATACAGAACAGACCTGAACTTGTACTTGAGCGAGAAACTAAATATTTGTAGTCTCTCTGACTGAAGTCAAGCCTGAACAAACTCAGAACATTACTGTCGGGGTTCCAAAATGCCCTGCAGGGCAAACATGCTGGCTGTTCAGCCAGCTTTGTACAGTGTACTCTGGATCTGAAAGAAAAGAAAAAACATAACATTTTATGCATGGCACAATACATAAAAAAAGACCTATTATTTCTCTAGAGTTCCTGTTGTGATGCAAACCAACCCATAAATAACTACTATTTGTTTTTAAAAATTCTTAAAGTTGCTCACGAGAAACAAACCTGGTTACTTTGAAATCATTTCAATAAATCATAATTTGTTGTTTTTTTTGCATTAGACATGTACTCAATATTAATGTTCCAATAACTTTACCAGAACCTCACAGAATTGTGGGAGAATTCTGTGCAACAAAAATGCTTTATCCACCAAATTATATATATATATATATACATATATATATATATATATATATATATATATATATATATATATATATATATATATATATATATATATATATATATATATATATATATATATATATATATATATATATATATATATATATATATATATATATATGTATATATATATGTATATATATATATGTATATATATATATATATATGTATATGTATATGTATATGTGTATATATAACACGAAAGGTTTGTGTTTAACCAGCAGTCTCTGTGCATCCAGTGTTTGAAGCTGTGAATCAGTTTCCCTCTCATTCATACCTGTAGCAGACCAGCTGGCAGCAGCATGCAGGAAGCTGTCCATCTGCAGGACACACTTAAGTGTCTCCATCATGTGCTCCTGGCGCAGAGTGTGAAGTCTGCTGGGACTCAGAGACATGCTGCTGTCCACCTCACTCATGCTGGCCTTCAGAGCCACAGCGGCACACTGGAGGACACTCATCCCTGAGAGCAAATGACTGATGTTGATCACATTCTGGTGCATAAATCTATGTTTACAAGAAACACACTGGCCCAATTGGACAATTCTTAAGTTCTATGTGTGAAGTTCTTCCCTCTCCAATGAGTCGCTTAGTGAAGGCATTACTGATATCTTTGCTGCATTTATGATACATAATATCAAAGGTTATATCAGGCACAACCTATAATGCTGTGCAGACGATGCTCTGCTAAACTTAGTAAAGCCTTGTATCAGCACCAGAGTAGCCAAATTCAAATGCTTCTAGTTTCTTCCTAAACAGAGTTGTTTTTAAGTTGTAATAGTGTTTTCTTCTTATTTTATCTAATATTGAAAATAGCTAAGCAGACTAGGACTTACCAGAGTTATCAGTGGCTTCCACATCAATATACAGCCCATCCATCATTGCTTGTTTTAAAACCTGGAAGGGAGGAAAAAAGAAAGGAAAGAAATTCTTTTGGGGGGAATAAAAAAAGGAAGGTGATCTTGTTTGATGACAATGCTCATTATTAGCTGCGTTTCCATGGACTGTAAAATGATTCAAATTGTAATTAGGAAAATATATTTGATCAATGAAAACATGACAATTTTGGAGAAACTCAGGGTTTTTGCTTAAAAAATGTTTCATGTAAGAGATGGTTTTTCAGCTGGATAGATTCCCTCACAATGGGTTTTGCATTCTCTCGCAATAATGTACTAATCAGTTTGTAAAGCACTTTGTCTCTTCCAGATTCTTTGCATGACTGTTATTTTCCCCGACGATCGATATCCAAAACAGTGATGGCGACGTGACCATTAGTCACGTGACGTTCAGTCCAGTAATAGGTCTGTCAATGGTGAGCAACCAACAGCAGAATCATAAATCGGTGCTCCTGATTCTAGTAGTGATGGAAATAATGATAAAAAACAAAATGCACACAGATCATCTGACCTCTAACACTCTGATGTAGCCATTCTCAGCACTCAGGTGCAGGCAGGACTTTCCCAGGTTGTTGGTCTCATTCACGTTTGCCCCCAGGCGGATCAAATCCGCCACCATGAGGTGCTGGTTGTGTTTTGCTGCATACAGGAGGGCAGTCTGTGGGTGCAAAGCGTGATCATAATTTTACATCATTCGGAAATTTTGTGACAATTTGCAGACTAAAGCTACACAAGTATGCAAAATACAATGTTGTAAATATATAAATATATATGTATATTACCCCCATATATGTAATCTGGTTTTGTCTCACTTAAATGATTCATAAAACAAAATGTGATATTAGACAAAGATGGCCTGAGTAAATACTAAAGTGTCATTATTTCTTCATTAAATTTGAGAGAAACGTTGTGGAACATAACAAAGTCCCATGTGGAAAAGTTATTAGCTAACAACCGCTTGAGTTAAGCATTTGAAATAAGTTGCTGAGCCATTATTGCTTCTAACAACAGGAGTGAGTCCCTATCACTGACAGGGATGTTGGGACAACAACATTAATTCCATGAATCTATAAGTGACACACTTCTACAAGTCCACACAGCCACAACTAATCTGCATCATCAGCCACTGTACAAAAGAAGCCTGATATTTGTCCTTCGGTGCCGTTCATGGTACTCTGTGCCCATCAGTGTTTGCTCCTCCTGAGTCTTTGAGTTTTCTGAGTGCTACACTCAACCCACCTTTGTGATCTCCTTGCAGGTTCTCCAGTGGAGCTCTGGATGTTACCCTTTGTGCCTCCTGAGTCCAACCATTCAACAACAAGAATCTCCATAAAGAAGCCTCAGGTACTGGAGTCCATGACAAACCACTTCCATGTTCACCAGCCTGTGCTGCTACCTGCTCACCTCCCAATGAAAACAACCACCTAGCAGTCTCACTGGGTTTCCTAGCAACAGTCCCAACTTCCTGTGAAGGAACCAAGCCCCAGCACCAGCCTTTCTTCGACCGGTGGATCAATCTGCACCTCAAAGTAAGGTTATCTCTCAATCATCTGCCAAGCTGAGCTCACCTCTCATCTCCTCTGTCCTCAGTGCTTCAGACTCCCCAGCTGTTCCTGTAGCTGCTCCAGGTCCCAGACAAAGAAAACCCATTCATTGCTTTTTGTACAATAAACTTTATTTGACTGATTTCTCCATCTCCTGCATGTGTTCTCCATGTGGGTCAAACGATTGGCAACAAATATGACAAAGTTGCTTGTTTTCAAGATATTCTACCTCACCTCGTGTCGTCAGACATGTTCTTTTCTGGGGATTAATTGATGATCCAGATTGGTTTGTCTCCCATCACTAAATAAAATCATCCTTTCAAAACATTTTTTTTTCCTGAGAAATCTGATATTGACATTTTTTTTTTGATAAACAGAAACATGTGACAAATACAACATTTATAAAGAGGCAATACATGTTTCAGTTTACCAGGAATAGAGGGTGAACTGTTTCACTGCTTTTCTCTCCATATCTCAACGGCTTTGCTGTGTTTAGTTTTGGTGGCAAAAATAGTCTGCAAACCTTCAACGGTTAAATGTTGGTGTAAAAAGTGTGTGTACGGTACCATTCCATCAGAGTCTTTGAGGTCCAAGCTGCTGATCACCCACATTCTTTTGGCGATGGCATACGCCTCTGCTCTCTTTCCCAGACACACCACTTTATGCAGACGTCTGGAGGGAGAAACAGACAGATTGGGAAAATAAGATGCATTTGAGAATCTAACAAAATGAAAAAGTTACTAATCTAAAACACGGATGCTGGCTTATAATGAAATACATTATAAGCCAGCATGACGAAAAAGGCTGCAGTCAGGATGAGTCGAGTGCTGCCTGCGGTTGAATTATTTCATTCCCACCTTCCTGCCAACATGACAAGACGTTGATCTGAAGTCAGAAATAAAACTGAACCTCAGACTCACTTGACTGCAGTTTTCTACACTTTTTGATCTTAGGAAACTCTGGTACTCTGTTATCATAGAAAGATGACAGCGCCGTCAAATGCATCTATTTATAGACGACGTTAAAATCACGAGGCAGTGAATACGGACGAAGCCTTACTAGTGTTGGTTCAGAACAATTTAGAGAAATTATGGAAAACAACTGCCTGTGTCTGCCAAGTTGACACAGAAGATTCAGATTCTTCACCATCAATTCAATACTAAAGTATTCAAACAGTAAATGATTTGACCCAGTCATCATCTATTGGCTGTGATACATGCAATGCACCAGCTTAATGAAACGTATTGGAAATTGTGGGCCGGTACATCTTTGCCAGCAACAAAATATCTTAATATTCCTCTTTCTCCAACTTTGACTGCTCAGTATTTGAAAGCGCGGCCAACATCCACTGACCTCATTTTGCTGCGAATGTTCTGTAATGTTTAGTGGTGCTGCTGCCAGTCTTGCCCAGGATTCCCTTGAGATTTTTAATCTAAATGAGATTTTCTTCATTTTTTGCTTAAATCCCAGAGCAATTTATAGTCCTCAAAATATTTGGAGGACCATAACTTAGTCATCAAACTTTCAATTTCACAGTCAACCAGGAGGAACATAAAATCAGTGTAAAAAGTGAGCTTAAGACGCCTCTCCTCCCAGACAGTAACATGCTTACGTCCTGCCGTGCTCATCGGTGGTCAGCAGCTCAGCATCAGAGGTCGTCCTCAGCCGGCTCTCCTCTTTCTGCAGCTGTGTCCAGAAGAAGGCAGAAGTGTTCAGATCCCAGTTGTTCTCAGGCTCGAACCAGCCCTCCTCTCTGTCTCTGCAGCTTTGTGTATCAGTTCCACCGGAGGACTGGAGGCTGAAAAACATGCAGTCAGGTCGGGTCCAGGGCATGTCGTGTTCCGAGGCGGTGGGAGAGGAGGCCATGTAGGATTCTGGGCTGGGAATGATTTCATCGTATTCGTCACTGGAATTTACATCTACAAGGGAAACACAGGGGCAGCATTAAGTTTTTCTTCCAGACCCGATTTTAGCGAATCGGACTGTAAGTGCTCAGTGTGTTACAGGAAGTGGAATCAGACGGAGGGGAGTTTGGGATCAGGGAGCGAGGAATGCAGCTGGATCTCAGGTCCTCTTCCAACACCTCAAGGATGATCGCCAGTTCCTCCAGGCTTTTCACAGGGTGTTGTGCCTGAAAGTAAAAGCAATGCCAAACTCAGCAATCCAAAATCTGTCACCAATGGAGATGAGTAATCCACTGTTGTTTTATGATCCTACACACACCCTGGTAACTTTGTTTTTTGAGCGGGCTCTGGCACGCTTCCTGTTTCCTGTTGAACAGAGAGACAAACATCATCAGGAGATCAAGGAGCAAATCAATGACAGTTGTTTTTTTTTCATATAAACCTGACAAAAACAAGGCAGCTTTACAGGTCTGTCTTGTCATAGACCACAGTTTACTCAGTTTTCTTATCCAAGAAATATTATTGGAGCAGCTTCAGTGTTTTGAACAGGAGTAATGACATCAGTTCACTCACCAGAGCCTTTTATCGAGCCTTTTTCCTACATTCACACATGCAGATTTTGTGGAGAAAAGTGAAAAAAAAAAAGTTTCATCAATGCACAGTGTATATTAATATGTTTAAAATGTTGCTTCTTCATGCACCATAGCAAATGACTGCACTTCAAGAATCACTGATTTAAATTACAACTACATAAAAAAAAATTGAATGGCATGAAAACATTCAATATTTCACAAAGACATGGTGAGCGAGGTCAAGCCTGCATCTCTGTACTTGTACATGCATGATATCCCTGAAGACACCTGGACTGACTCACTGATATCGTCTGAGTTTCTGGAGAACTTGTGAAATGTTGTGTATAGAACAGTGAGACAGTGGTTTCTGTCCCCGGAGTTAAATTAAGGAGATAAAGATCATCTCACTGCATTTAGAGTGTCTCCAGAAGTATTTTCATCAAACCCAAAGGGAAATGCTTTTAGACATTGCCTTTAAATTTCTGTTGTTTTAAAAAAAATTACTGATGAAGTGGAAGAGGACATATGCTCACCAATTCAGTCATTTTCAAACAAAAAGAAGAAAGGATTTACGTTAAAGTCGTCGGGGTCCATGTCTTTGGGCACTCGGATGTTTTTCAGCAGATCCCTCACCGGCATTCTGACACGAACTCCGAGGTAGACCTGCTCACCGCCAGAGACTGAACATCTTGTGCCTCGATGAGAAACAGAAAACAAAAGGCCTGTTGGACAGGATCAAAACTGCTTCTCAACTCCAGCTACCATTAATTACAGAGTGAAAGAGTGAAAGCATTTGAGGTTAGGTAATAAGATTTTGTTGGCTCTCTGATCCACACACCTGGGTTGAATATGTTTACTGAAAAGCCCCAGCCAAGTGTTTAACCCCCGAGTTGAAAATAAATACGATTGTCATCGGCTGACATGTTGTCCTTTAGTTTTACTCTGAAGTTAAAACCTCAAGATTGGGAAAAAAAACACTTCAGAATGCACAGAGGGAACAAACTCACAATCCAACATGACTGACTTTTTTAAAAATACTTTATTTTTGATCATTTTAGTGGTCTTCCAAGTACACATACATGCATACATTGAACAGTTAGAATTCCCTCTAACAAAAATTACAGAGCAACTAGTTTGACAAGGAGCAGTTGAGTGATACTCAATGAAAACAAAAAAGAAAAGAAAAGGCAATTACATCAATTATACAGTTGGTGTCAGGCTCCAATGAATTTTCCATTTTTTCCAGTATCTGTTGTATTCATACGTGGCAAATCTTAACGAAATTGTCAGTCTTTAGATTGCATGAATTTCCTCTATTATGTCTTTCCAGTCATAAATTTACGCTGTGGTTTTCCTGGGTAATTCACCTCAGGAACTGAAGAAGTCTGATAGATAACTTCTGTTATCATTTTTAGCAGCTGCAAAAACATCTGTAACTCACAGGTGTATTCCCACAGTTCCTCCTGCATTTTGCCTTTTCAACGTCGTTTACTTATAATATTATGTGTAAAAAAAAAACGCACTGCATTTCCAGAAAAATTTCTAGAACATGATGTGTGAATCACAGATTTGTATATATTTAACCAAATATCATCAGTTCTTGTTATTTTGGCTTCTTTTTCCCATTTAACCTTAAGATATGTTGTATTATGTTTTCTCTCTGTTTGTAGACATGAGTATAGTTTGGATATTTTTTTTGGAGGTTTTCTGTTGCTTGAATCTAAAAGGATTTTAAGTATACTTGTCTCGTCCTCCTCCAAAAGTTTCATACTTTTCTTATAGTGGTGAAGGTGTGTAAACAAGTCACATTTTTTCAGGTTGTAGTTATCTTGAAGTTGTTTCAAACTTTTTGATTCTCTATGGTTTGTAATCTTCCAGTAACTTGTGATGCCTTTTTGTAACCTCTGTGTAAATCTCTTCTCCATTCTTGCGGGTAGAAGATTTCTATCTCTATCATCTGTAGGTCAGGTCTATCTCTTTCCATTTAGCTTCACATGTTGGGTCACACCAACCAACCAACACTCTCATCTGCGCTGCTCTATAATAATCCTCTAGATGTGGTAAAGCCCATCCACCCATTTCTCTTGACAGTTGTAATGTTTTAAATTTTACTCTCGGTTTTTGTTTAGATAAAGTTTGAGATTATTCTATCCTGATCACATAATTGTTTGTTAGGTATCTTTGTAGGCAGAGCTTGAAAAAATAAAGAATCCTTGGTAAAAGGTTAATCTTTAATATGTCTATTCGATTATTTAAGTTCATAAGTAACAAAGACCAATTGTGTTGTCAGTGGGATGTAACTGCATTCAAAAAGGCTGGCTGACTCTGCAGGAATTTGAACTCCCAGATATTTTATGGATTGATTGTGCCAGTTGAATCTGGACATTGTCTGAATTCTTGGTGATGGTTGATAGTTAAATGAGAGAACTTGTGTTCTCTTTAAATTTGATTTATACCCTGAATAGGTGCCGAATGTCTTGAGTAAGGAAAGAAGATTAGGTAGGTCGATCAGGGTTACTTAGAGTTACGAACACATCGTCAGCGTAGAGGCATATCTTGTGCCCTGTGCCTTTAATGGTTCCACCCATAATGTTGTCGTGTTCTCTGATGGCTACAGGCTCAATTAAAAGCACAAACAATGTGGGGCGTTAAGGGGCAGCCGTGGTGACAGCTCCTTTCTAATTGTATTTTATCTGATAGATCCCCATTAGTCTTAATCCTAGCAGATGACTGAAGACAATTTATCATTTGATTATTGAAGCCAAATCTTTCCAAAACCAAGTAAAGATATTTACAACTCACAGAGTCAAACACCTTTTCTGCATCTAAACTGACAGCTATCGATTCTGTTTTTCATTTGGTCTATGAGGTGAAGAACCTCATAGACCAAATGAGGTCTATGAGGGTCTCATGATAATGTGAGACCCATGAAAACGTTTCACGTTCTCATGGGTTTGCCTGTCTTGAACAAAACCAGTCTGATCCTGTCTGAAATTTCTGGGATTCTGAATTTCATCCCGTTAGCCAGTATTGTTGCAAATATCCTGTAATAAATGTTTAAAACGAACATTGGTCTGTAAGAACTACACTCTGTTTTCACTGAGATCACTGCTCTTCTGCAAGACGGTGGTGTTTCCCCCCTAGAGAGTTCATGGTTAAAGCATCATCTTGCTCCCCTTCAGTTTTGAAATTACTTTATTAATATCCTCCTCAGTTATTTGTTGTGTCAGCCTGTTGTTTTGATCTGTTCCTATCGATGGAAAATCCAGTGAGGCAAGAAATGTTCTCACTGAGGACGGGTCAACTGTGTGAGGTTGTGTGTATAATTGAGTGGAGTATAATTCAAAAGATTTTTCAATGTCTCTCAACATGACCGACTTGTATGTAAAACTTTGTGATGGTACTTTGAACCATTACTACACGTGACACGTTGCTGCAGTGTTTGAGAGCTTATAAGTAAACACACTGTTAGCTTACAACATGCAAACATGTTTCTTCTGAGTGGAAGGTAAAGATTGGGGTGATGGCAGGGAGGCCTTCCAGCCTCAACATTTGTGAAATTTCCAAGTTATAAGTATCATACTAATTAAAAGTCTGACATCTAATGAAACGACGGAAGGTAAGAGCCTCTATATTTCACTAGGAAGTAAAAGCGATGTGGGAGTTTGGAGATGATTGTTTCACTGATCCTGCGGTTGGTTGGCAAACCCTGATAAATGCTTTGAAATGCACTTGGCATTATCTGATAACCAGCCAATCAAACAAAAGCAGCTTTATGTTTTCTGTCAGGCGTAATTTCTCATTTCAGATATTTGAGAATATAACAGCCACTAGCTGTAATTTAATCTGAGTCGCGATGTTTCAAATGGCTAATCTGGTAACATCATTTGAGAAATCTCAAAAAGCATTTTATTCATCAAAATGCTATTGAGGACATATTGAATTGTTCTCCTGACCAATCAGAATTTGAATGTGGATATCTTAAATTCTTGGTAGTCAAATTGAAGTTGTTTTTAGCTTAAACTAATTTTAAGACACCTGGAAAGTAATTACAGATAGTGACATCAAACAAATGTCATGTTAAAGGGGCCTGTCACACCCATATATACATGAGAAACTATTTTATTAACATATTCAACAACTAGAACTACTTGAACTAAATTGAAATGCCGTATTGTTCACATCATTCCTTAGTAAAAGTTATGGTTCCTACCTTTGTTTCGTTTGCAGCCAGGCGGGCCTGGCTCGGCGGGCGGCTCCTCCAGCAGAGGGCCCAGTCCGGCCCCCGCTGTCTTTCTGTTCTTCTGCCCTTTCATCTCCTGGATCTATTCTGGAACACAAGGTTCTTGAAAGCAAAGACCAAGTTTTCTTATATTTTTTTGTTTTTTCTATGGAGCCGAAGATGTGTCTAGAAACAGAAACTCACTAAAAGCAGCCTCTGACCCCGGGCGTCACTGTGACCTGCTGCTGCGTCCTCGATTAGGAGCTGACTGAAGAGCCGCTGCTGTTCTGTTCTGATCTGATCTGATCCAGAACTCTGTGTTCCACTGAGGAGAAGGAATGCTGTCAGGAAGACCAGCCTCTCAGATTTAACGCGGTGCTGGAGGGCGGGCTCACATACCGATCACTTTAACTGCTAGAGCAACATCACAGGTGATGATGGAAACACGCTTCATACTGGAGATGGTTGCAACTCCTGTTTACGGAGTTATAAGATTTATATGAGCTCCTTTGGGCTAGAAAGGTTCTCAGTAGTGATCATGCTCCAAATCAAATAAAAAAAGCACATTCCAGCAACAAGGCAAAATGCTTTCCATCATGAAAACAAAAATAAATAGTCATAGAAGACACAGTCAATAATTGAGACATTACATTTCGACGTCATTACATATCAGATTGTTAATTAATGTTCAATTGATTTTGTTTCAAAGGCAAACTCTACACAGGTGTGTTTTTAATCCAAATTTAAAGGAACTCAGAGTTTTAGCTGTTTTACAGTTTTGTAAATTTCTAAAACTAAATTGGTAGAAATTGCAATCCACAAAATGTAGCATAAATGGCCACAACAACGTGCAAGAAAGAAACTGAGGACGGCCGCCTCTCATTTGATGCCACTTTTGTCAAATGCATGAGCCAAAAAGATGCATCAGTATAGTATTATTAGTGTTGTTGTGACAATAAAACACTTTGTCACGCAGGCCGTTGACAACCTGCATGAGCTGCACTTACAGGCCAGAAGATATCGTGAGAATTCTTCACTGGAAGATCCAGTCAGGCAGGAGAAGGGAGTGAAAACAGAGAAGAGGCCTTCTGCTCAACCACGAAAACTATTTGTCTTTGTCATGAACACTTCATGCCACAAGATTATGAGAGGCTCCTGTGAAGTTATTATGGCACAGATAAAAAAGATGAATAGCAGACAGACAGGATAAGTAGTCAGTTACCAGACCACTGCTTACGCTCAGGTGTGTGTGTGGGGGGCTAATAAAGACACACAGCAGATGGTTCTAACACACACTGTGGGAACCTTGGCCTCAACTTTCACAGTTTCCTTCGAAGATCCTGAGTTCACCACCGACTCGTTGACCTCTGACCCAGTGCCCTCGGCTCCTGGTTTGATCTCATCCTGGGATTTCCCTCAATGCTTCTTCAACTGGTTTCTGACCAGTTAATACTCACCTGAGTAATCAATATATGCATAATCACAATACAATACTTTGACCTTTTGGAATTCTGCACCTACGACTTAATCAAAGCATGAAAAAACTAAAACTAAACAAAAACTAAGCAATATTTAACTATAAATAACTAATAAAAACTAGCAAACTCCTAAAGCTAACTGATTTAGGCAGACAAAAAGTCACAACAAAATAAAAAACTATGCTGTAATGAAAAATGTAAAGCTGTTTTAACCTTGGCTTCCAGCAGAGAGCGCCGCAGTGCAGAGGCTCTTGCAGGGCCGGCCCTGTGATGTGCAGGGCCCTCAGCAGACGCTTAGCAATACTTTAGATTTCTTCCTGGCTAGCAGTCTAAAATGTTATTGCTATGGAGGTATATCATTTACACACTGCTTTACAGGTTGGCAATACTGATATCTTGCATAAACTGTGGCTGATTATGACCCAGACGAGAAATTAGGCAGCCATTTTGTCTTTTAGTTTTATAGTTAGATAAATTATAGTTCACCTTATTGGCTCTGTATGCACACATGTTGCTACTGCAAATTATATTGGCCACCTGGGAATAAAAATCACTGATGGAAAATTATTTTGGGGGGGGTATTCAGTTTTGACAGTAAAATCATCATCACTGCATGATTTATCAAATAAATGATCAGTACTGTTCATGTTTCATCTGATGAATTGGTCTCCTTCTGTCTCTGCGTGTTCATCTGCCTGGTTCTCCGTCTTTCACCTGAAGCTTCATACTGTACATTTGTTTAAAACATACAGTATGTTTTAAACAAATGTATAGTACCTGTACCTGATAAATGCGTTTAAATCAAATCATCACATTGGAGGTAGAATGAAGTGGATGTAAAAAGATAAATGCTTCAACTTCAAAAATACTTTTATTGGAAATGAAATGTTGCTATAAGTGATATTGACTCAGATTCTTCAGAGTTAGAGATGGATGAATGAAACTCAGAGGTTATCAGATCAAACATCTGCTGTGCCAGGATAATGTAACAGAACAGACCAAGCATCCCACTCTGCATTACCTCATGAAATTCATCCAAGAGCATGGGAGACCCACTGCGTTCCCTGAAGACGCCTTGGGCGAAACAGGATGGGTGAAAATCCTGCAGACATGGCTTGAAATACTCTTAGGACGGTTGAAAATGCAATTACAGGCTCAAAGAATTGCCTGGGGGAAGTGTGCTGTCCATGTGAGCTGCTAAAACCTCTGCTTCAGGCCCCTTTGTGTTGTTGCGCTGAAACTGGAAGACAAAACTCCTGCAGTTTCACACCTTGTGGTTCCCGGCAGCAGAAAATGTGATCAAATCTTTTCATATTAGTATTATCTCTGATTTCAGCAGATAAGCTACAGGCAGCATTCTTAAGCACAACATTCTCCCACCAGCAGCGTGTGGCAGATAAATGGATTTGCTTTAAGGCACCAGAAGTTCAGTGAATATAGTTTTGCAGTCAAAAGAGCAATGGTGGAGATTAGAGATTCTTTCCCTCCTCCTCTCCCCTCATCCCCTTTTTTTCCTTCCAATTGATGGAAAAAGACCAAATCCCTGCTTTGTTTAAATGGTTGATGCTCGACTGTTTTAGATGACTGTCTGAATGGGAATTGTGCTTTATAAATACGGCTCACTCTGCAGTGCCGTGAGGCAGCTATGCCTGCGGCCTTTCACTGTCTGCCAAGAAGCACATCGTCCATAATGTGCAGCCTACGCTTGATACTGTGGAGCTGAATGGTGAAAGACACAGGAGAACCAAAGCCCTGAGACCTAATGATGCAAACATACCGAAAAAAAATCCACCACAAGACTTCAGTCAATTTGGCTGTAAACACACACTTTAGAACAACTTCTGGGCTCAAATGAGAGTCAGACATTGTGAGGCCGGATGACCTCCATGGACAAATGTTAGTCATAAAGTTTACATTTGAACCTTCACCCTTCAGATGCACTTTTTATGTCACAATGCTTCAATTTTATGTGAACTTGAATTTTAGGTGGTGAAAAATTGGTTTTCTGCTGCCATCTGGTGTTTGCATTTGTCCTTCCACATCAGCAGGAAACTTCCTCTGCAGCCAACGACGAAAGACGCTGAAGAAATGAGTTTGTATTATTTTCACCAGTGCTAAAAACCAAATTTTGGGACAAAACTCAAAATGTGTCTCTTGTGTCAAAACATCCTGTAACTCCTCTGTGTGAAAAAAGAGTTTTCAATTGTGCTGGTTGTCAGGGGCCCTGGTGAGGGCCGACTGAAAGGGCCCTGTTGGACAGACAGATTTAAGGAAAGACCAACAGTTTTCACGGACTTCCAGTGTTTTTCCCCATCAATCGCAGCTCAGTCTGTGAAAATAGATTCTACTGTAACAAACTCAGCCCAGATGAAGACCTAATGAATTAAATAAGACCTGCAAATATGTTTCAAATAGTAAAAAAATACATATATTTTAGTTTAAATAAATTACGATACAAATTCATTTTTATGACACAGCGCATCACATAAATTAAACAATGTACACCACATGGAAATGCTGGAAGGTTTCTCATGGCTCCTCTTACAGTAAATTTCTGTCAATGTGTTTTTAGTATTTGTATTTATGTCCAGATTTAAGGTTTTACATGATGCTATGCACAGAGCTGCAGCTAGAGGGACAGTCACTCTGACCCACAGACCCTCTGGTACTGGGGAACTAAAGTCATCCTGGTACTGGGGAACTAAAGTCATCCTGGTACTGGGGAACTAAAGTCATCCTGGTACTGGGGAACTAAAGTCATCCTGGCACTGGGGAACTAAAGTCATCCTGGTACTGGAACTAAAGTCAACCTGGTACTGGGGAACTAAAGTCATCCTGGTACTGGGGAACTAAAGTCATCCTGGCACTGGGGAACTAAAGTCATCCTGGGTGGTGACGCAGCTCAGAAAACTGCTGGGTCTTAAGTTTGTGAGCCAAGTCTTTCTGAACTGGCCCGAATGACAAGGATGTCATATTTAAGAGAGAAAAAACTCATCAGTGAGCTGAAGAAATTGCAAATAAAGAAAAAAACAGCTTTATTAAGCCCAAATGTGTTTGTAACTAAAATATGGATACATAAGAAAGAAAAAAAAAGCTTACTGTTGAAATAACAGCTTGAATAGAGTGTGTGTGTGTGTGTGTGTGTGGGGTCTTACACATATAGTGTTGTGTCTCTGGTTCTAATGGCTCCAAAAGACCATCAGGTGGGCATTGCATATGTTAAAGGGCCGGTATTACATACAATTGACTGTTTTGGGCTGTACCTCATGTTAGAATGTTATTCTCTCATCAAAAACATACACAGTGTTACTGTGATCCTTTCATGCATGTTGGAGAAATCCTTTAATCTCCCTTGGCAACCTTTCAGCTGTGCAAATCAAACTGAGCGTCGCCTCGAGGGCAAGGCTCCTCCTCTCAGATGCAGTTTTCAAGCTTCCACCTTACAAAGCAGCTCCTTCAGACTAGCCTGCAGCAGTTAGCAAACACCTGGTGCAACTGCGCATGAGATGAGCTTATTAAACGAGCTGCTTCTCACTGCAAGGCTGGTAAAAATATAGCTAGAGTTAATAGAGGAGCCATGTTGTGATGACTAATTTCAAAGTGTTGAATTACAAAGTAACATTTTTAATATATTTCGAAATACACATAGAACTGAGGATAACATAGTTACTTGATTATGATGCTATAAAATGGAACAAATTAGCTGGAAAACACATAATACTGCCCCTCAAATAACATGCTTAGTTAAAATACATATTTATTACAATTGTTTTTTTGAATGTGGAAGTGCCAGTGATGCATGCTTAAACAATTTTTATAAACTCTTCTATTAATAA